TCTAGGGATTTCACTTCATTCCAGGACAAAATATAATTAAGATTTATGTGAAATGTGCATTTAAAAAAGAATGTTGGGGCTGGAGCAAGCACAGGTGGTAGGGCATTCGCCTTACACGCAGCCGAGCCAGGTTTGATTCCCAGCATCCCTAATGGTGCCTCCAGCACCGCCAGAAGCAATCCCTGTGCATCGCCGGATGTGAGCCCCCCCCCCCAAAAAAAAGTACGGTTGGAACATTCGCATTTTAATCAAACCATATCTGAGTTTTTTATGTCATGTCTGACATCACAGAATCACACAATTTGCTCTTACATCATGTCTTAAGCATTTTACAGCCCAACTCATAGTTTAAGAAAGCAGTTCTAATTGAAGAACCTCAGGTGTCCTTCTAAAATATAAAAACAATGCCAAAAATGAATGGGAAAACACATTTTCATAAATACCTGTAACAACGGGATGTGTTAGATGACATGATTGCAGGTGTAAGAATAATGCTGAAAAGTATCACGGTTTGTAGAATTGTTTTTTTTTTAAATGTACCTATCTACTAAACCAGTGATGAAGTGAAGCCTATCACTATAAATGTATGAAGCGTGAAAAATCAGCTTTTGTACAACCATGCCCCCTGAAAACTTTTAAGTTAGAGGTGATGCAACTTCAATGTCTATTTTTTAAACATTCTGCGACATGATAACTAGGTAAAAAAAAAAAAAAATCACTCGTCTCTTCAATCTCCAGAATTCAACAGTCACTTTGAAATAGCCATGAGGGGAGAGGGGGCGGGAAACCCTTCTCTACTAAGAAACCAAAGGACTTGCTTTTTCACAGCAACTTAAGAAAACCAGAGCTCAGACAGGCAACCGAAAGGGGAAAGAAAGAAAAAAAAAAAGAAGAAGAAAACACATTTAAAAAAAAAATGTTCTGAGTTTACTTTCCTATGCACAGAACTGCGTCCTTGTTTTCAAAGCCCTGGAAATTCACACCAGCAGGAGGCTTCCCCCACCCCATCCAAAAAAAAAAAAAAAAACGAATCAGAAACCGCAACAAGTCAGCTTCCTAGAAGCAAACACTGATGCACGCGTAAGTAAGAGGCATGGGGGACCCACAACTTCTTTACTTCCCCAAAAAATAAATAAATAAATAAATAAAAAGATCTACCAAGTCTTCACTGCGGGAAGAGATAAGCAGCGGAGCGGAGCAAAGAGCCCCAATCTGCACTGCTGAGCCGCACCACGTTTTCCTCGACGGCCTTTGGGCCCAACCACCGCGTCCCTCTGAGCACTGGCCCCCGAGAGCCGCAGCTTTGTGCGGGACCCCTCGCCGGGCAGCGGCCCTCGGGGAAGGCTCATCCAGGGGGAAAAGGTCCGCTGGGAGCCTGCAGCGGCCACGAGCTCGGCTGCACAAGTTGCCCCGAGCACCCGGGCACGGCGGAAGTCCTGAGCCGGGGGGCGGCCCGGGAGCCCCGCAGACCGCAGCCCGCAACCCGCAGACCGCAGCCCGCAGCCCGCAACCCGCAGACCGCAGCCCGCAACCTGCCCCCAACTTTTCCCACCGCCGCCGCAACTCCAGCACTCCCCCACCTGCAGCCACGGAGCGCGCGGGGCTTTTGTCTCTCCTCCCCGATTTCTCCCCCTGCCCAGGCTGGACCGCCCCGCACGCCCCCGCGGGGTGACCCGGGGGTGGGGGGCGGCTGCAGCCCCCCGCGCCCCCCATCCCGGCTGGAAGCGCTCCCCAAACTTACAGCAAAGTTTCCGGCCCCGAGCGGCGGCGGCGGCGGAGGCGCCGGCGGCGGCGGTGGAGGCGGCGGGGCTCCCGGGAGCGAGCGCCCCCTCCCTCCTCTGCGCGCCCCCGAGCGGGGTCGGCGGCTGCCCGAGGCCCGCGCAGGGCCCGCAGGTCCGCACGGCGCCGCCCGCACCTCGCCCGCGCTCCGCTCTGCCGCCCCGCGGCGTCTGGACCGCCGGCCCCGCGGTATCCCTCCGCCCCGAGCCACGCCCTCCGGGCCGGCGCTCGTTTCTGCGCCCCGCCCACCTCCCGCGGAAACTCCGAGTCGACTTTCCCCGGCGGCTCCCGGGCCCGGCGCCCCGCCACGGGCCAGCGACTCCCCGACGGCCAGCGCGGGGCCAGGGCTGTGCGAGCCACACTTCGTCGAGGAAACGTGTGTGTGGGGGGGGGGGACGCTTGGGTGTCGGCCAGCCGCGGAGACGGACGTTCTCGGCCAGGAACCGACTGGGAAAAGTTTCCTGGCTGCAGAAGGGAAGGAAAAAAAAAAAGTCTTTTTTTTTTTTCAACTCACAAAATAAAAAAAAAAAATCAAGAGTCTGCAAGGGCTAGGGGAAAAAAAAAAAAAGAGAGCGTTTTAGCCCATGCATTGGATTTTTGGAGGCTGCTTCGGAACCTTGGGGGAATTCCAAAATCTGCATGCATGTCAATGGTTCTGGGTCTGCAACAGCAGGATGGGAAGAAAGAAAGAAAGAAAGAAAGAAAGAAAGAAAGAAAGAAAGAAAGAAAGAAAGAAAGAAAGAAAAGAAAGAAATCTTCCCAAAGGTCTAGGAAGGAATGCAGTCAGGTCGGAATCGACTTCCTTCTCCAATCCACAAGAAGATCTGGGGAAAATGGAAGCGCTTTCCCGGCGACCTCTTTGTGCAGAGCTCCTGGGACTCCAGAACCTTCCCCCCACCCTCCCCAAACCCGGTTTTACGCAAGCCCCCCGCCACCCCCCAAGGACCAGCACCCAAGCCTCCGCCTCGGACTCTCGGGGTCCCGAGGGACAAAAGGCAGCGGTGTGCAACCTCGTGGGTTCTCCAGACTCAGTCCAGTCCCGCTGGGAGTCCAGGTTCCCTCGGGAGAGCCGGAGCCCCGCGCCCGCCCTCCCCGCAGCCCGACGCCGCGCTCCGGGGACGCCCCCCGCCCCGCGGGCCTCGGCGCGGGCACAGCTCCAGACCCCGGCCCGGCGGAGACTCAGCCGGAGCCCAGAACGCGCCCAGGAGTTGGGGCACCGCCCGGAGGGGAGGTCGGACCGGACCTCGGAAAGTTTGTGGCGCCCCAACCTGTGAACACGAGGAGGACAAAGAAATCCGATTTCCCTGCCCCGCGGGTGGAAAGGAAGGGACTTGCGAGGCCAAAAAAAAAAAAAAAGTGAAGATCGTGGAGCGCACACGCGAGTCTAGGGTTAAAAGAAAGAAAGAAAGAAAAAGGAAATTGTCTCGGTTGAAAGTCAATGCAGTTGTCTTTGCGATCATTTTAAAGCGCTTAGGAAGCATCCTGATACAGGGGACCGGGAAGAGGGTGTTTCTGCCCGCAGAATGAGAGTGCTGATTCTGTGTACGATGAATGGGGAAGTCGTCTCTGCTCGCAACTGAGATTTAAACACACATCCCCCGACCCAAGAATCACGAAGGCCGTCTAAAACGCTCGGCCACGTTGGTTGGGGCCCTACTGCGCAAAAGGCGCCTGGAGTTACAGGTCTATCCTATTTATAACTTGGAACCACAAAAGTGGGTCTCCAGGCCCTAACGATGTGCAATGCACCCTTTATCCACGTCCGGATCCGCAAGGAAACACAACCGGAGCCAACAACAGTCTGGATGCGCGGGGGATGGGGAGGGGGGGTACCCTGGACGAAGTGGAGGTCAAAGAACAGTAAAAAAAAAAAAAAAAAAAAAAGATGAGGCACCTCTTGTCACATATAATAACAAGTTTTCTTTTTAAAATGCCTGCTTTCCTTGATAAGTAACCAATCATTAATAATGCTTACTCGGGCTAAAACAGCTATTCGGGGATCCCGGTGTTCCGGGTTCATTGAAAACCCTAATTGCCTAAAAGAAGTTGCAATTCTTCGCCGCAGAACAGCCAAGAGTTGAGACATGACACTTTGTTACTGATCTCTCTCTCTCTCTCTCTCTCTCTCTCTCTCTCTCTCTCCCTCTCCCCTCTCTCTCTCCCCCCCCCTCTTTTCTCTCTCCTTTCTCTCCTTTCTCTCTCCTCTCTCTCCCTCTCTTCTCTTCTCTCCTCTCGTTTCTCTCTCTCCTTTCTCTCTCCTCTCTCCCTCTCTTCTCTTCTCTTCTCTCTCTCCTCTCTTTTCTCTCTCTCCTTTCTCTCCTTTCTCTCTCCTCTCTTCCTCTCCCTCTCTTCTCTTCTCTTCTCTCTCCTCTCTTTTCTCTCTCTCCTTTCTCTCTCCTCTCTTCCTCTCTCCCTCTTCTCTTCTCTCCTCTCTCTCTCTCTCTCTCTCTCTCTCTCTCTCTCTCTCTCTCTCTCACACACACACACACACACACAAAGTTGGGTAGCCTTTTGCTACCGTCGAACCGCCTTCGCACAAAAGGGAAAGGTCTTCCAAGACCCACGTCTGTTTGTCCTTTGAATTGCTCACCCCCCCTCCCCCAACCCGGTCTCGTCGTCCCAACGGCTCCTGGAAATTAGGGGGAGGTGGCTCGAGGGCGCCCGGGAACGCTTTCCTCCCCATCTGCAGCCAGTCCACCCAGAGGCTGGAATTTTGAAATTTTGAAATGGGCCCCTAGTGGGTGGGTGGGTGGGTGGCAAGGGACGGCGGAGAGGGACTGCTCCGGAGCTCCCGCCCACGTCCAGCGGGAGTGCCCAGCGGGTCCAAGTTCGAGGTTGGACAGCGCGCGCGCGCATTGCCGGGTGCCCGGACTAGAGGGCGCTGCGCCCCTGCAGATCAGCCGGGCCCGCCGGGCGCCCTCCCCGGGCACCGTTTCTATAATAAGTTGCATTCGAAATAACGTCCGCACGGCAGCGCGTCCCAAGTTCTTGAGAACAGCTCCCGGTCCGTCTTGCAATACGGATTCTCCAACTACCGGCCCAGCTCTCCCAGCGCCCGGGCGTGCGCGCCGTGCCAGGGGGGTGTGCAGCGGGCCGAGAGCGCCTGGAAGATGCGCGCGCTCCCGGGCACCGGCTCCCGGCCAGAGCTCCCGCGAAACCCCAATTCATCAGCGTGTTCCAACGTCCAGGCAGTCGGGCTGGCCGCCAACAATGCAACTCACCGGTCCGGCCGAGACGGGCTCCGCTGGCCAGTCCGGGGGAGCCTCCTAATCCCCGCGCGGTCGGGAGAACTGCGCCAAGCCGGCTGCCAAGGACCAACTTTGCCTCGCTCCGATCCTCAGCATGTCCCCAACCGCTGTGCGATCCGCCGCGGCTGCCCGGACCCGGGTGGCCGCATCTCCCGAGGCTCCCGTCCGGGGTGAAACTCGGGCACCCGAGGGCGCGAGGGTCTGGCGAGAGGGGGTCCCGGGAGAAGCCAAGTTGGTCAGGACATGTCCGGGCAGCGAGCCGCCGACTTTGGGAGTTGTGGCCGGGAGCTGCGGCGGCTCACTGCCTCTTCCCCCCCCACCCCCAATCCCTCCCTCTGGGTGGGGGTGGGGGCAGGGAGGTGACGTCAGCGCCCCGCCTCGCCCCCCGCCCCGCGGCACCCACCAGATTCTCCCTCGGAGTCCGCCTCCCGGACGGTAGCAGCTGCGAGCTCGCCGGCGAGGTCGTGCGCGGCCGAGTGGAGCGTCGGTCCCTCTCGCCTCTGCCGCTCCTCCCGGCGCTGGCCTTCCCCGCACTCGGGCACCCGAGCGACCCGGGAGACCCCCAGCCGGACCCCCGAACTGCGCCCCCCCCTCCCTGGCGGTCTTTCTTGCAATTCCCACCCCGCCCCACCCCTCCCCTCTCCGGCAGCGTTTCCCACGCCTGGAACTGCAGGTGATGCGCTTCCTCTTGTGCAGCTGAGATTCGTCGCGACTCGTCGCCTGCCTGCACGGTGGTTGGTTTGGGGTTTTTTTTTCTTTTTCTCTCGCTCTCTTTCTTTTTTTTTTTTTTTTTTGCAGGGCGGAAGCATGCACAGTCTCTCTGCAGACTGCCCTGGAAGACTTGTACTTCGCAGCCCTCCAACTTCTGGATCCGATCTATTTTCGAATACTACTTGTGCACCGGCGCTGTTTGCAGTCTCTCTACGTGGAAAATCACGGAGCCATGTTTTAATGTTCGAATCCTTTTCCAAACGCGTCGACGTTTTTTATTCCGCACCCTGAAGCATGTACGGTGGGGGGGGTGGGGGGAGGGAGGGAGGGAGGGAGGGAGGGAGTAATGTAGGAGGAGCCAGTGCTAATGTTTCTTCCAAGTCATCCTTAGTGATAGGGGCCAGTGCACAAATCCATCGTCTCCTCCTTGTTGTATAGAATAAGAAAGATGGGAATGGTGTTGAATTCAATTTATAAATGAGTGCGTTTTTTTTTTATGTAAGCATCCGGACTCCAGGGAAATACCTGCTGTGAATATTTTAATAACAATAAAGAATCAAAATAAAATCTCTCCTGAACAGCATGAAATTAATTCCCAGGGAGTCGTTTTTTGTTCATGAACACTGTGCAACTTCCAAGCCCCCTTCCAAGGCTGACGTTCTAAGTCGTTGCTCTTCTGTAAAGGGGATAAGGGCTGGAACGGGTTCCAGAGTACATTTGGACATCTAATGGACAGTTTAGTGTTTTGAAGGGGAAAGAGCAAAACCCCAAGGACGCAGGAAACAAGACCAGACTTGAAAAGTTTAAATGTTGTTTTTGGAGCATTGTGTTTATTTGGCCTCCAGAAAGCCACATAACCTCCATATTCCAGTTTCTTCTTCTGTGATAAGGGAATACCTGTTTAGCGGGGAAAAAAATTGTACTGGGGCATTTATCCACTGAAAAATATTAAATAAATACACTTACCGGTCTGGTGATAATATTCATTCCGCCTGGCTATATTTTTACTATCATATAAGTGTCTGCCAACCAGAGCACTGTGTAGTCAAAATCTGTTTTCTGACTATCCTTCACTCTTTCCTGCATCTGTTTTCTTGGCGTTATATTGGGTAGAATGAAAGGGAGGTTATCACAAATAATTCAAGATGCATTTTGCCTTGGAAGGGAGGGGCGGAGACACGAGGAGGAGTTGCAGGCTATGCAAACTCTGGAAGCAGCTGGAAGGTGCCAGATTCCTGCGGAGGGAGGAGGAAATCAAAAGAAAGACTGGCTGGGAAGAGCAGCCTGTGGTAGAGGACAGATTTCTGATGCTTCAGTATTTCTATAACTCAGACTCACGCCTTTTAAGTTCACAGTTAAAATTAGAAACTCAGCACATATTGTAAGTTCCTCTGTAATACAGAAGAATTCCCCCCAGATGTTGCCTCCCCAGTTTGGTCCTTAGAGTGATTGTAGGCAATCTAATTATTTCCATTAAGAAATACAAATCAGAAGTACCTAACGTAATAATTGATGATATCAGTTGAAAAAGCTATTCTTGAAAGCAGTGTGAGAGGAACAGAAAACAATACGTATATACCCTAGTGGTCTATAACATAGGTTTTTGTAAGTGGCTAAGGAGTTACTTAAATTAAAATTGAATTCTTAGGGATTCAGTGCATTAAGAGATACAGTACATTAAGGTTCTTGCCTTGTATCCTTTGAACCCGAGTTTGAATTCCTGACACCATATGTGGATCTTAAAGCGCCATCACAGTTTGGTCACGTGGAGTACAATGCCAGGAATAGACCTTGAGCTACTAGAGGGCATGGCCAAAAAACAAAAATACAAGACAAAAAAAAATTGAAATGGAATTCTTTAGTCTCACTGCAGTTACATTTCAAGTAGTCAGCATCCACTAGTGGCTAGCTTATTGTTCAGAGCAGATTAAAAGCCCTTTTCATCAAGAGAAGAGTTCCAGGGGCCCAAGCTGTTACAGATTGTCGTGTTGTTTTTGGAAGGCTGGAGTTGAGTATCGTAATTTCTGTGCTTCAATGTTGAGTCACTTCCGAAGTTTGCTTCCAAAGTTAAGAAGAAAAAAGAATCACAGAAGAATTCATTCATGCCACAAATATTCATCAAGTGCCAACAATCTGCTCAGTGAAATTATAAAGGACTCCCAACTTAATAAGTTAGGTGTGCTTGGTAAGCAGTATAAACATGACTTAGGAGAGCCTTTCAGTGGTTCTTCAATCATTGCTGATTACTAAAATCAAGAGACATCACTAAACTTAAAGCTAGAAAAAATTCTTTGACATTTTCAGGAGTAGTCCGAGGGCTAAGTAATTAGAAGTAGGAGAATTAATTTCTTTCATCTGACCCTCTCTTTCCCTTTCTTTCACTGCTGTGTAATCTGCCTGCACCTCATTCTGCCTCTCTCTTATGGGACACCTGCTTCCTGGAGGTGTTTTTCAGACATCTCCATTTCCCCAAGCTTTGCATTTAGGTAAAACTCTCCTCTGAATTCTCTAAGGGAGCCATTAGAATAAGTAGCTAGTCAGACAATGGCCAACTCTAAGAATGAAAATGTTAATATTCCTGATCTGCTCCTAGTACATTGCAACAAGAGCTTTTTATTTTTTTGATCAAATTTAGTGCTAATGGTGAAATTTCAGTTGCTATAGTCAGATGCTATAGTTGAAAGCATTACAAATCACTTTCAAAGCGGCTAATATTTTTAAAGGTAGCACTGTTGCACTGTCCTCCCGTTATTCATTGATTTGCTTGAGCGAGCACCAGTAACGTCTCCATTGTGAGACTTCTTGTTACTGTTTTTGGCATATTTAATATGCTGTGGTAGCTTGCCAGGCTCTGCCATGCGGGCAGGGTACTCTCAGTAGCTTGTTGGGCTCTCTGAGAGGGACGGAGGAATCGAAGCTGGGACAGCCTCATATAAGACAAATAGCCTACCAGCTGTGCTATCACTCCAGCCCATTTTTTGGGAAATAAATACAATGCAGGATGTAATGATTGTGAATTTTCTGTCCCTATAACTATGAGGATAGCACCCTCAACTGGTTTGACAACTTACTATTTTGCAATAGAACATACTATTTCACAGGATTAGTATGATTTTGGTCATCCTGTCCTAGCTTCATAATTGAAGGATTCCAAATGTACCTTTTGAACATAAAACAATGAATTATACAGAAAGTATTGAGGAGGAAAAATTCCATATAACTTTTCTAAATAAAGGATGTAGAAAGATCATTCAACTCAAGGTCAGTAGACCTGGACTGAGTTGTCTTTGCCACAAAAGAATCTGATGCATTTGGTTAATACTGAATTTGGAATCTGGGGAGTTTAATTTTTCTTTTGAAAGGTGAATCTCTAAAATGATCTTTAAAAAAAATGCTTCCCTGCTAGCTGTTGCAGATACCAATAAAGAATCACTGTCACTGTCCTCCCGTTGCTCATCAATTTGCTCGAGCGGGCCCAGTAATGTCTCCACTGTGACAATTGTTACTGTGTTTGGCATATCGAATACGTCACGGGTAGCTTGCCAGGTTTTGCCGCGCGGGCGAGATACTCTCTGTAGCTTGCCAGGCTCTCCGAGAGGGGTGGAGGAATCGAACTCAGGTCTGCCATGTTTGCCACTTGCAAGGCAAACGCCCTACCCCCTGTGCTATGGCTCCAGCCCACCAATAAAGAATATAGATATCAATTAAATATCATCCTTCACTTCTAATTAAGTTATCGTTTTTCACCCTACTGCTTTCAAGTTGGCTATGAGACTTCTGTCAAATCAATTGTTTTAGGGAATAATATCACCAGTTATACTACAAACTTTCTAACTTCATTAGATGCAAAATGCCATTTTAGGTATTGGCAATTAATACATTATCACCATGTAACAAATGAGAAAAAAAAGTCTTAGGTGGACTAGAAAACTCACAGTACGTCGTCGTTTGAAATAAAACCTGAGGTTGGCAGTCTCTCCAAAGCCCATATTTTCATGAGCAAAATACACCAGCTTATGCTAAATCTCATTTGCACCCTTTATGAACCCTAGCTATTTTCAACAGTGTTTTTGTGGTTTAAGAAGTTGCCTATGAGGAAAATGAGAAGCCATAAAATTATAGGTAGAGAAAGGGCTTCTACTAGCAGCTTCATTTAATACAGATAAAAATTGTTTAAGGAATTCAGGGATGTCATTCATGGTGAAGTACATGATTTACTTTTATGAGGTTTTAGGTTCAATCTGAGGCATACACAAATTACTTAAAAATAGATTCTTTCATTGCAGAGTAAAAATGTTACTGTTTTAATTTTGACTTACCTATTTTCCTAGGTAGATATACATATTCTTAAATACACTTCCTTTTCATTAGCAATCATTGTTTGACTTTTACCTTGATTAGTGTAAATAGCAGAAAAATACACACTGATGATTTTCAATGAATTCTGAAAAAGAACTGTCTCGAAGAATTTCATGATCAGCCTTTCAGCTTAAACCTCATTTCCCCCTTTCTTGGTATAAAACCACTAGTTCTTTTGTCTCTCTAGTTCTCTTTATTGTTCACGTATGCTTTTCTTTACTTTTTATTTAACTTTTATTGTAGGCCCCATGATTTATAATATTGTTAATGATAGTATTCACACAATATTCCAAGATCACCACATCCCCTACCAGATTTTCCAGGCCCCTCAATGTACCTCCATTTTTATCCTCCC